CCCAAATACAAGTGGAACAGCTGAATGCATGCTTAGGGAGCCCTCTTTCTGTCTTGGTGAGAAGAGGATTACGTAGAATCTAATTTTATCTGAAAAAAAAAAATCCCTTTGCTCCTTGGAGATGGTTTCCAGTTCTGTGAATAATCTCCTGATTTGCTGTTGACTCCTACTGGCTCTAGTCACGTCCTAGACCCAAGGGAAATGCCATACTTTTTTCTTTTTAATTATTATGTATATACATATGTATGTATGTATTTAGAGAGGGAGATGGGGGAGGAGTAGAGAGAGAGAGAGAGAAAGAGAAGCTTAAGGAGGCTCGATGCCCAGCAGGGAGCCCCATGGCGGGGCTAGATCTCACAGTCACGAGATCATGACCTGAGCCGAAGTCAAGTCAGACTCTTCAGTTAACGCTCCAGTAGAAACTATTATCTCTGCCTTTCAAATCTGGTAACTCACTGTGTGTGCACTGTGCCCTTCCTGAGTTTAGCCTCATCTCTCCCTTCTTTTATATCTATGTGCCGGGAATACAACTGTGGGGTCTTGGCCTTTCTTTCCCTTCTGGTTTTGCGGTGTGGGGCATTAAACCTGGAGCGCAGTTCATACTCAAGAAATATATTTGAAATGAGTTTATTGAGAAAATCCACATTTGTCAGAGAGTCTATTGCTTGTCACAGAGAGTGCACTGTTTAGCAGAAATTTGCATTGTTGCTTTTCTCTCTGAAGGTTTTCGAAGGCTTTTATGGAACCACTGTGATTCAACAGACAGCGCAGGCCTCGCCGTATTATTTCTGACAATTTTGATTTGAGCTGCTTTTCAAAAAAGTCATTTGTGTTCCAACTATTTTCAACCCTGAGACACAACCGCATTAGTACATGCCGTTTAAAGAAGTAGGTGTTCCCTTGCTTTGGCAATTAATATCAAATCCAAATCAGATGTTTATCTGCTGGAGTTTGTTCTTCAGAAAGAAAATGTTGAGAAATTTGACGTGTAGCGGGAGAAAATTCTGCTTCTACTTTCAAATCACACCCAATGGCCGACAACAGCTCAGCTATTCTCAAGCCTCGATGGGAAGCCCTGAATATCTGGAGGAAACTGGATGGATAGTCAGGACCACCTCCTTGGTTTAGATCTGGGGAAACATGAATTCATCACTTTTGTATGCCATTCCCGCTACGTCCTTTTGTTCCCATTTTCTCTCTGTGGGTGTTTTGTTTTTGTTTTCTAAATGGTTTGCGGGAGGAGTGAGCCACCTGCAATGTCACAGCCAACACGGAACCTTTGGCGGCACAAACCGAGAGTCTCAGGGAAATTTTCCATGTAGATTTTCACTTGCTTCCTCCCAGACCACGGACCATTGAGCATCCTGCATTCTTTTTCTTTCTTTTTTTTTTTTTTTTTTCAAATTTTTAATGTTTATTTAGTGTTGAGAGAGAGAGACAAAGCTCGAACAGGGGAGGGGCAGAGAGAGAGAGGGAGACACAGAATCTGAAGCAGACTCCAGGCCCTGAGCTGTCAGCACAGAACCCGACACGGGGCTCGAACCCACGAACCATGAGATCATGACCTGAGCTGAAGTCAGACGCTCAACCGACTGAGCCACCCAGGCGCCCCGAGCATCCTGCATTCTTAAGATTTGAGGCTCCTGAAAATCCTGTTGCCCTCCTCTCCACATGGAGAAACTTCTAAGGGATGACTTCCTTTGGCCCCAATAGACATCTTTGTATTTTCTAAATAATTCTGTGCTGACTTCGTATCTCTCCTGTCTGCGAATATCTTCAGGGCCCTTCAACTGAGTACCACACCCTGCAAGTATTCATTTTTGAACAGTCTGACTTTCTGGATGATGAAAAAGGAGCCCTTGAGAATATCCTAAGCAGCAAAGTTGTATTACCTCAGACTTTGGATTCTGCCAGCCCAGTGTTCTGCGAGGGATACTGTCACCAGTGGGAGGTGATTGGGGGCGATTCCATGATGCTACTTGTAGGCACATGTCTATCATCTTTTAGTGTTCATTTATGCTCCCTTATTGATAACTATATATCTATAGATAGATGATAGATATAGATAGATTTAGATACAGATTTTTTGATTTCAAATCCAAGAGATATTCAAACATTAGTGTCACAAGTAGAGTCCAGGCCCAGATGTTTCTTACCTGGATTTCTGGAATAATTTCCTAAACATTTCCTAACCTCTAGTCCAATAATGTCTTCCAAGGCTGCCGGAGTGTTCCTTCTTCTACTGGAATTATGGTAATGACTCTCCCTCATAAAACTCTTAGTGATACCTTATTGTCCTCATGGCACACTCCAAATTATTTTCGCATTCAAGACTTTCTGTCATATGGCCCCTTTTATGTGCTCCCACGCTTGACATTTATGCATGCTTCATCACAACGTTTATCATGGTATATGGAGATGTACCCCCTGCCTGATTTTCACCATAGGTTGGAAGGTTCCTAAGGGTAGGAACTACATCTGAAATTCATCTTTGTAGTCCATCCTTCAGCAGGGGTTCAATTAATGCTTACCTAATTGGCAAATGAGTATATTGAGCTAGAATCTCTCCTCCTAAAACCTTCATTTTCTAGAAGATGGAAGCATGCTTAATTACATAAAATAAATTGAAGAACATAGACACCCTCTGGAAAATGCTAAGCATTACATAATGAAAAAAATATATTTATTAGCCACTGGCTTATGTTGAAGAAACTATAAATTCCTCCCCTTCTTGACAGTTTGCCTGATTTAGGTGCTTCTTTCTTCCTGTCACATCTATGTTTTCCTACCAGAACACCCTGAATTTCTACAGCTACTCAATTCTCAATGGTTAGCTGTCTTCAGCTCTTAGCTGCAAGATCCTTGAGCCTCATTTGGTTTTAGAGTAAGTTCAGGATAGAATGAATATAACCTAATCAGCAATCTCATCAGAACCTTCTTACTTGTACCAAATCTGCTTTGAGAGATAAAATATGTAGGGAAGTACCTTCCATGGTGACACAAGACATGACACAGTTCGCCTACCTTTTCTGACTTCTCCTTTTCCAAAATATAGCTCTGGTACAGCTGATTTTATTGATTTCATCAAGAGTAAAAAAATAAATAAATTAAAAGGAGGGTTGCTTTTTTCAACAGAGAAGGGAACATTAATCAAATTTGTGTATACCATATTATATGACACTGAATAAATAAAACCTTGCACTGAAGGGATTTGAGAAAGGTTATTATATATAAGAATAGAAATATGAAAACATAAATTTGAAAATTACATGGAAACATTATGAAGTTTCTTAAGTAAGCATATGCAGTTATGACTTACATTTGTATTTCATGGAATCTTAAACATTTGCCAGGCACCTTAGGGTTTATCTAGTACAGTAAATTTTTATTTGTGTTTCTCAGGAAACTAGGTTTTCCAACCAACTAGTGTTTTAGGAAGAGGAGGGGAGAGTAAAAGAATCTAATAAAACAGGTCTTGTCCCTGGACTTGACCACAGCCTAAACCTGCGGAGTTCTTGTCTTATTGGCCATTCCGAACAAATGTTGGGCTTCTTCCTGAGAATAAAATAACGAACACCTTTCAGGGACCTAGAGGGACCTGGGAATGTGTCCCTGCCCCAGCAACCCCTCCCCCCCTCCCCTCCCCACTTGATCCATCTAGACTTTCCCCTTCCTACAATACTTCAGGTTTCTCAAACACGCCCAAAGCTTTCCTTCTGTAGATATTTGACTTTATTCTGCCCAGGTTCTTTTTCCTTCAGATCTTCACAAGCGCGACTCATTCGTATCATCACCTCGAGCTTAAGTGCCACCTCTGCAGAGAGGTCATCCCAGATGTCCTAGGAAAAGGGGTGTCCACGATTCTTTATCTTGTCCCCGAGGTAGAGAGGCACTTAGACCTTCCTAGGATGAATGGCTTGTGACTCTAAGGACCAGAACTGGTATTCTGTTTAACTGAGCTCATCTCACCCCTTCTACAATCCCTGTAAAAGTTATGGCTTCAGGATTGTTTTGTTTTGTTATTTATTTGAGAGAGAGAGAGAGAGAGAGAGAGAGAGAGAGAGAGAGAACACAGGAACGAGCAAGGGACGCACAGGGAGAGAGGGAGACAGAGGATTCAAAGCGGGTTCCATGCTGACAGCAGAGAGCCCAAAGCCAGGGCTCAAACTCAGTAACCAAAGCCCAAGTTGGACATTTAACAGACTGAACCACCCAGGTGCCCTAGTTTAAGAGATTTTTTTTTTTTTTTTAAGAAGGCAGATTACATGGAAGCATGTGGTTCAGGATAGAAGCCAAATTTGTGATCAATATTTATGGGGAGGCACAAAAAAAAAAAAAAAAAAAGATAAGTTGTGGGAAAAAAACTTAAAAAAAAATGATCTCCAATTCGTTTTCCTTTGATTAAAACAAATATGGCACAGTACCTATTTCCTCATATCATCTCATAGATGAAAGACCCAGGAGATCAATGAGCAGGTTACAAATAGCATGGTGTCCTCAGGCTTGTGGTAATTGCTGGATGAGATAGCAACATTCTCTTCTTTATTTAACAGATATCTATCATGGCCCAAGTCTGTGCGATATCTTGATCCTACTGAATATCAATATGAAACCTTTGTTTTCCTGAGTCTTTTAGTCCAGAACAATTATAAGAATTGGTCCCATCCCAGCAATGCGTTCATAAGACAAAGCAAGGCACATGCTTGTATGGCCATCAGAAAAATGTAAAGTTCTAGATTGTATGGTTTTAGCCAGAATAATTAAGGATTTTAATACAGAAAAAAAAAAAAAAAAACCCATGTCAAAGGCCTCAAAGATGAAGCCCATGTTTAATGTCTGGGTACCTGGAAAATGATAATGCCCTTGACAGAGAAGAGGATACTGGGGCAATCCAGTATTCAGATAGGTCTGTTCTGAACATCCTGAGTTTGGGCGATGACAGACAGTTGAGTGGAAGTGAACTATGAAATGGCCATCCAAGCGGGCCTGGACTTGGGGAGGTTTCGGGTGGGAGCTCGAACTTTAAAAATGAAGCAATGTTTAGTAAACAGCAACGCTAGGCATCTGGAACTCAACAGGAGTTTAAAAAAAAAAAAATTGCTGGTGGAATTATTAGCATACGACTGTTTTAAAGACTACGAAGATGCAAGCTGAAGGGGCAGGATGGACCGGATGGGGGAGAGCCACTGTGCCTGAATGAACAGGAAAGCAGAGGGTGCTGACAAGGACAAGCCTTGCGCCCACATTCGCCGTTAAGGATGGATAAGAGAAGCAGGGCACGTTCCCCCGACAGAATAGGAAAAATGAACGCACTCAGAAAGGATCTGTTCACCTCCCGAACCCTGACGACAGAACACCTAGCCGTCAGGTGAAATCCAGCACCTGAGCCGAGGAAAACAAAGCGCGCTCTCCGTACAAGCCCGGATCCCCTTCCCCAGCTCCCGAGGGTCCTTCCACCCCACCCTGCGCGTAAATCGCACCCCTCAGAAGTTCTGCGTTAGAGAACGCAGCGGGGAAGAACATCTTCTGCAAGTAAAGAAAGTAGAACTAGGGCAGTCCGAGGAGATTGAAAGGGCAATACCATCACGCAAGAAAACTGTAAGTTCTGATTACTTTCATGACTTTGCCTTCATGCCTCAGGAGCTCAATTGATCACGGCTTCCACGACAGGTTGGGGGTGGGAGGGGAGAGCGCTCGGGGAAAAAAAAAAAAAAATCTCAAAACTCTCCTCCAGCTTCCGCGCTCTCAGATGCAAATACCTGGCGGAGAGATGGATGGGCCGCAGCCCCTCCTACTTTCCCCGCTCCCCTTGATTTCCCCGCGAAGGACTCCATCTGTACCGAGCCGTCAGGAGGGCGCTGGAGGAGGGGTGCGCGAGTGTGCGCGCGCGTGTGTGCGCGCGTGGCGGCGGAGCGGCTTCCTCTCCAACAGCCCTCACTGGGTCTCCAGGAGGTGCCCAAGTCTCAGTGGCTCCCCGGGCCGGGGTCGCCCGGCGCCGACCGCAGGCCTCCGCCGCCGACCACCCTCGCCTCCTCGCCTCCCTCCTGCGCTGGCCCGGCGCCCTCTCGTCTTCTCTCGGGCGCTCGCCCTCTCGCCCTCTCTCCGGACGCGCGCTCCCGCTGGCTCCGGACCTGGCGTCTGAGCCGCTCGGGGAGAGGCGGCCGGCCCCTTG